TCCTCCTCCTCCTCCTCCTCCTCCTCCTCCTCCTCCTCCTCCTCCCGCTTGACCCTCGTAAGCTCTTCTTCCACCTCCCGAGCCAACGGAGCGCTGATGATCGACAACTCATCTAAAACCAAGCTCGCATTTCCGCCCTCGATAATGCTTGAACCCTCCTCCTTCTCCTTCTCCTCCTTCCCGCCCTCCTCCACCGCCTCCTCCTCCTCCTCCATCTCCTCCACCCAGGCTGCCAACACCGCGTCGCTCGCCGCTTTTGCGCGCTGCATGTGCGCTATTTCTTCCCGAGCCGCCCCTAATTGCCCCTGCAACAGTCTGATACTCTCCCAAGCCTGAGGAGATCGCTCTTCACTCCCTGTATTAGGTCCTCTCTTGAGCCCCTCCGCCCCTCTATCCCTTCGTCCCCCTCCTCCTCCTTCCTCTAGCATGGCGAGCGCTTCTCGCGAGGGAGTCGACGGCTTTGAGATCGGATGCGATCTATCAGCAAATGCTTCCACGCTGGCCTCCTGCTCTCCCTTTTCCGTGACGGAGGTCTGTGCGGCTGCCTCCTGTCGCTGGAAGAGGCAGGGTTGGGGGAGGCCGCGTGCGGCCGCTAACTCATGAAGGACCTTGATCGCCTCCCGCTCACTCTCGATTGCTGCGACAGTGGCGATCTCTTGCTGGCGTTGGAGAATGCGTACTGGAAAAGGCGTTTGCGGGTGTGCGCCGGGTGCGTGGCAGGGAAAGAGTAGGGAACGGGAGGGGCAGGTAAGATGGGGCGAATATGACCGTGGCATCCATTGAAAGCCCAAATCTGCATTATTCAAGCGGATCAGGCGCTCATTGCCCCTTAAGCCTCCCCCTTTTTACCTTCTTCTTCCAGTAAAGCTATCATACGAAGCAGATCCTGCTGTAAGCGTAAACTAGACGGGACTCTGTCTTCTCGTTCCTCTCTCGCTTGAGGAGAATCAAACAGCAGCGGCTGCCAGTTGTGAGTCTCAGCGGCCTCTCTACCATCGTCCAAGCTTTTTCCAGCCTTTTTGTCCTCCAATTGTTGCCCTGATCGTCGCCGCAACGGTACTCCTGCGCCTCTTGAACATGAGGGGGAATGAGAGGAGGCTACAGTGGGAGCCGAAGACATTGCGGTTGTACAGCCAAAGACGCTTGCCATGGGCGCGTTGTTGTCCAAAGGAAACAATTCCGTCGACTGTAACCTATGCAATGTGTGAGAAAGACAAATAGTTCCCCTTAATAGAAAGTGCTGTCATTGGTCAGGTTGCACATTTTGCGCGCGCTGTGGAAAAACCAATGAGAAGCTCGGAACGGGGAGGCAAGTGATGGTACGTACGACAAGCCTGACGCGTCGGTCACCATTTTTATGGTGTGAGGGTCATTCACGACGAGTCAAGTGATAAACATAAAACGTCGAAGAATCACGAGGGATGTGCACAGCTGTAGGCCTGTCGAATTGTGTCTATGCTGAACAAATCAGTACCATGACGGATTTCTCGCTTCTCATTACAGCTGACACACATTCAGGCACACTCTTACCTTTTAAGACGCTGTCCCTCAGGTATTGTAAAGTACATTTCGGCCTCTGTACCACTGTGCACAACAATTTGTGAACCAGAGCGCACGAAAGACGAGAAAGAAATTGTGTGGTGACCAGAAAAAGTCCTAGGAGGTACGTTAGAGCAAGGGGATGTAGTGAGTGCGAGGCATTTTTAACAGGACAAAACCACGCATTAATGCTATAGGATAGCACGATCTTCTGCATTGAAAATACTTTTTCGGTAAAATTGATTCGTATTATCTAACGATGCACAATGTGCTGGCCAAAACCTTGGTCGTGCATCGAAAGCAGCAGGGAACCTCGAATGCTCCACTGTTTTTCCCATGAGCCTCTTCTCCTAGTACTGTGATTCAACGAGGGATGATCTTCTCCTTGTACTGTGATTAAAGGAGGGATGATCTCCTTGTACTGTGATTAAAGGAGGGATGATCTTCTCCTTGTCCTGTGATTCAACGAGGGATGGTCTTCTCCTTGTCCTGTGATTCAACGAGGGATGATCTTCTCCTTGTTCTGTGATTACAGGAGGGAAGAAAAGTCACACTTCAACAACTGACGAAGCTAAGGGCCACTTTATCCATCCAGGGACTTGGCATTCCTTTCCATCGTCCGCAAGTCCCGGGATTGGGAACCTCTTATCTGCTCCCCTTCGGCCTTCATCCCCACGCGACGCGCACCATGGTTGCCGACGAGCCCGTCGGCCAAAGCCTGCTCCGCCGTCGACGTAAAGAAAGCCCCCCCAGCATGCCCGTGGCTACCTTGGACAGTGTAGGGCCTGGCCGTGTCCTATCTCCCGCGGCTGCTGCCGCCGACCCAGCCGAGAAGGCCGCATCCAAGGAGAGCGACCGGCACGCCCTGCGGCGGCTATGGCGAGAGACGATCCCGGAGGAGAAAGGGTACATGGGAGCAGGCGTCACGGCCATGCTGGTCTCCTCCGCGACGAACATGGCCTTCCCCACCCTGATCGGGCGCATTGTGGACCGTACGACCAAGGGCGCCGGTAGCGGTGACGGGGGAGGGGTGGGAGAGAAAGAGACGTCGTCGGAAGGGGAAGTGGCCTCTTTGCAGGTGTTTTTGGGCCGAGCACTCCTGATCTTCGTGGCAGGAGCGATCGGTTCCTGCGTCCGGACGCATTGCCTCCGGATGGCCAAGGAAGGCACAGCGCGCCGGTTGCGAAAGAAGTTGTTTCGGTCCCTCCTCCGTCAGGATAAAGCCTTTTTCGACGATCCCGAGACGGGCGGGCATCGAACCGGGGAGCTGGTGGCGGTGCTTGAGGGAGACGTGGACGCCTCCTCCGAGGTGTTCACCACGCGCCTGGCCGACGGGTTGCGCTCCACCTCTTCGGCCGTGAACGGCACGCTCATGCTCTTCCGCCTCTCCCCCAAACTCACGGGCGTCTCCCTCGGGCTGATCCCGGTATTCACCGCCGCCATCGTCACCAATGTGGTCTTGACCCGTTCTTTGACCGCCCGCCAACGTGCCTTAGCGGCGGGGGCGACGGGCTTCGCCCAGGAACGTCTGGGGAATTTGGTGACCGTTCACGCCTTCACGGCCGAGGATCGGGACGAAGCCGCCTACGCGCGTCTCTTGGACGAGGCCCACGCCCTCACCTCCCAGGTATCTCTGGCGAAGGGTCTCTTCATGGGCAGCCTCTTCTTCGGCGGCTCCGTGACCATGTCTGCCGTCCTCTGTTTTGGCGGGACCCTGGCCGGCCAAGGGGAACTGAGC